TGCTTGCTTATACTCTATCAAGTTAAGGACACACCCCTGTATTGTTGTTTTTGTTTTTTTTTTGAGAGTTTTATTATGAATAGATGTTAAATGTTTAAAGTGCTTTTCCTATATTAAATGATAACATTATTTGGCTTTTTTTTTGTTTGTTTGTATTTGTCTGGTTTTGGTATCAAGGTAATCCTGGCTTTATTAAATGAAGTTTTCTTTATCTTTTAATTTTTCTTTTTTAAAATATTTTAAATTTTCTTAATCTTTTATGATTTGAGAGAGATTGTGTAGAATACGTTTTTAAAGTCTTGGTGTAATTCTGTAGTGAAACCATCTGCTCCTGGAGATTTTTTGAAAGTTTTAAATTTTTTTATTCTATTTCTTTAATAGTAAGGCTACTTAGGTTATCTACTGTATATTGTATGTGTTGTGGTGGTTTGTATTTTTCAAGAAACTTATTGGTCCATTTTATCCAACTTGTCAAATTTATATGTAGAGTTGTCCATTGTGTAACCCTTACTATCCTTTTGATAACAGTGAGTCTGTAATGATAAAACCCATTTCATTCCTGATATGGGTAAATTGTCTTCTCTCTTTTTTTGTCAGTCTTGCTAGAGAATTGTCAGTTTTATTGATCTTTTCAGTGTGCTTTGTTGCATTGATCTTTCTGTTTTCAATTTCAGCAGTTTTGCTTTTGATTATTTACTTTGTCCTGCTTGCTTTCTGTTTATTTTACTTTTCTCTTTCTGGGTTCTAGAGGCACAAGCTTAGATTATTGATTAAGGCTCTTTCTTTTATCTAATGTTTGTGTTTAGCACTCTGAATTTCCCTCTCAGGAATGCTTTATTTGTATCTCAAAATTTTGATATGTTGTGTTTTCATTCAGTTTAATGTATTGTTTTCCCTTGAGACTTAACTCTCCCATGGATTATTAGGTGTTTGATGTTTGGTTTCCAAGTGTTTGGAGATTTTGCTGTTAACTTTTTGTTCTTGATTTCTAGTTTGATTCCATTGTCAGAGAACATATTCTTTTTTATTTCCGTTATTTTTAATCTGTTGAGGGGTTTTCTCTGGATTGGTCTATTTTGTTTTATGTTTTGTGGGCACTTGAAAAGAATGAGTATTCTATTGTCTTTGAATGGAGTAGTCTGTTAAGGTCGACTAGATCCTGTTGGTTGATGATGTTAAATTCTATGTGTTTATTGAATTCTATCTAGTGTTTCTATCAATTGCTGAAAAAGGGGTGGTGAAATATCCAACTGTAATTATGAATTTATTTCTCTTTTCAGCACTGTTAGTTTTTACTTACATTTTGAAGCTCTATTGTTTAATGCATATGAGGTTGCTTAGAATTGTTTAGGATTCTATGTCTTCCTGGTGGATTGACTCTTTTATTATAATATAATTATCTTCTTTGTTCTGATCATTTTCTTTGCTCTGAAGTTGCTCTAAGTCTATTTTAATATCATCTAATGTAGAAAGCCACTTTCTGCTTTCTTTTAATTGACGTTTCTATGAGATATTATTTTCCATTGTTTCATTTTCAACCTGCCTATACTATTTGAAGTTAAAGCTTCTTCTAGACAGCATATATTTGGGTCATCCTGTTTTTAATCCACTCTGTCTTATTGGTATATTTAGACTACTAACATTTAATGTAATTATGAATATATTAGAACTTAAGTTGACATTGTATTTTACAATTCAAAACTTTCCCTTTGTTTCCTTTTTTTATATCTATTTCTTTGTCCTTGGACTTTTTCTTTTGCTGATACTTTGTATTTTTTTTCATTTTTTTATAATGTTTTTGATTACTCATTGAAGCATTCATTTTATAGCTACTTTAAAGTGTGTCAGATGATTCTGAACATCTCTGTAATTTTGGTGTTTGCAAGTATTGATCGTCTTTTTGCATTCCATTTGAGATCTTCGTTTGACAAGTGATTTTTAAAATTGAAACCTGGACATTTTGGGTAGTATATTACAAAACCCTCGATCTCCAGATCTTATTTGAACCTTTAGTTTTAGCTATCTTACTCTAATGCTGTTCTGGCAAGAGAAATCAGGGCTGCCACCTTATTACTGCCAGGTACAGGTAGAAATTAAATTTTCTACTCTGCATCCATTGACATCTGAAGAAGGATGTCCCTTGTGACTGCTGGGCAGAGATGAGAGTTCTGGGTTCCCACTAGGCTTTTACTGATACTTTCTTGTCTGAAAGGGATAGGGGTGATGGTGATAGCCCTGACTCTTCACTTGGCCTCCTCTGTACAAACCTAGGGTAGAGGAGGATTGGCTGCTTGTTACTACCTGGTGAGAACAGAAGTTCATGTTACCCATGTGGTTTCCACCAGCATTGCAGGAGTTGGGAGAGAGGCTTTATTGTATCCCGGTAAGGGTAGACATTTTAGGTCCCCATTCAGTGTTTGCTAGCATTGGTGAGAGTTGGGCCATAGTTTCTTCAATGGTTTTTAATTAGAGTGTTTATTTTCTAAGCATTTTCTGCTCTGTGAGGCTCCTCCTTTCTTTGTCTTTTGGCTAAAGAAAAGGCAGGGTTTTATTGGGGCTTTTTGTCTCCCCTCGTTGGTGTTTCTGGTTACTAGCGTCTTAAGCTCCAAGTTTAGAATATATTAGGCAAAAATAAACTCAGAGAACTCACCACCATGTTGTTCCTCACGTTTCCACCTTTCAGAGTCTTTGTTTATTTTCTGTAAAATGTCCAGTGATTTTAGTTGTACCTAGGACAGAGAAAGAATAAAAAGTACATTGACAGCATCCCACTCAAGTTAGTGCCCCTTTTCTTTGCACCACTTTAGAATCAAACTCTTTGAAAGCATTCATCTGTACTTATTTTCTCCAGTTCCACTCTTTTCATTCTCTCCTAAACCGATTCCAGTAAGATTTCTATCCCTATCACTCCTTTGAAACAACTCTTGTCAAGGTGCCGTTTTCAAGTGAATACTAAAAGCAGAAATACACATGCATTTTTGAAGTACAAGATCTTTTATTTTAACCATTAGGTTTGGGAGTACATATGAAGGCTTGTTATATAGGTAAACTATTGTCACAGGGCTTTATTCTACAGATTATTTCATCACCCAGGTTTTAAGCCTAGTACTCAATAGTTATCTTTTATGTTTCTCTCTCTTCTCCCACCCTCCACCTTCAAGTAGACCCCAGTGTCTGTTGTTTTCCTTTTTTGTGTTCATAAATTCTCATCATTTACCTCCCACTTATAAGTGAGAACATGTGGTATTTGGTTTTCCAGCAATAGCTTGCTAAGGATAATAGCGTCTAGCTCCATCTATTTTCCTGCAAAAGATATGATCACGTTCTAAATTCTGGCAAGATTGGTCAAGAAACCAACAGAAAAGCGATGAAGATAAATAATGTTGATGCAAATAAGAAAATGTTATGAATAATTTTAATCATATTTAAATAAAATTGTATGTAAAATAATCTAGTTATCAGAAAAGTATGTGACCAAAACATTCAAAAAGAAATAGAAAATCTGAATGGTCCTATAGACATTAAAAATGTTGGTTTATTTGTTAAAAGTCTTTCTTCCTTTCCTCAGTACTCACCTGAGTTTGGACAGATGCTAATTCCAGAGTTACATAAGCTTTTTCAAAAACAGGGAAAAAAGTAGCAATTCTCTTTTTATTTTCTGAATCTTACACACTACAAACTTGTTAACAAAACTGGCAAGGAGAGTGAGAATGAAATTTAGAAGCTAGCCTCACTTAGGACATAGCAAAAATAACCCCAAAACCTAGCAATGTATAAAACAGGTAACATGACCAAATTTGACTTATTCTAGAAATGCAGGGTTTAATTAGTATTAGAAATTTGTCCAGAGTGTTTACACACTAATGAAATTATGATACTACACATCACAGGTCTTTGCATTATTGATTCAGTATAGTCTTCGTTAAATCTGAGAATGCCAGGTGTCTAGAGAGCATGTTGAATACTGAAATTCAGTTTTGAGTGGAATACTGTGGATCACAGTAGATGGCACAATTATTTTTGATTAAAGGGAGTCAGATGGTCTCTCAGAGGTGACAAAAGGTGACTTAGGTTTTGATGAGTAATATTGTTATCAGCATGTTGGAGGGAACGGTATTTCAAGTAGAAATAGTGGATGCTAAAGCATGGCTGTGGCATTTGGGAATGGTAAGTTACATAGTTAGAGCATGGTAAGGTTATCTGGAAGTGGCAGGAGATGACACTAGAGATTTGTGCCAAATTGTGAAAGGCCTTCACTGTCTTGCTTCTTGCTAAGCAGTGGAATTTATCAGCCCACTGAGAGAAAGCCAGTTGAGATTTTTGAGCCTTCCATATATTTAGTTGTCATGTCTTTTAAAATAACATGTATAACTTGTTTGCATGCTTTTGCATGTATAACTTATTTGAAGTTAGGTGCTTCTACTGCTTGGCTTTTTGTGTACAAAAATATAGGGATCTGGATTTATGACTGGACCACTTAATATAATGTATTAATTTCCTCTGTGTTATATCCTAAACTTTTAAAACCACTCATGGTTAATCTCTTTCACCAAATTGTTCCATAAGAACTTTCCAAAGAAAGAGGTGACAAGGGCATTTTTTATCACATACACAGCTAAAAATGACAGAGCAAATGAAACTAAATGAAACTAAAAACGATCTGTCATTTTTAGCTGTGTGTGTGATAAAACATTTTAATACATCTCTTTTTAACTTGGATTTTATTGGAATTTTTGAAGGAGTTGTTTGTTTTTAAGAAAAGTAATTGGACTGAACTTTCATTGATTCCCAGGTTTCTTTTTTCCCTTTTATCTTTTTTTTGTTGCATTGGTAGATGCAAGGCAAGAAATTTGTTATTCTAAATTTGTGAATCAGAGAATTTTAAACCTAAATTAACTTCATAAATGAACTCACTTTTTTCTTAATGGATTCCTTCTAAGTTCCAATGATAGTTTGGATTTTCTTGATGATGTAATTGTTTGATATTTCTTTTATTTAAGGTGTGACTGCACAGAAAAGTTACAAAACAAATTTGACTTCTTGCGCTCACAGTTGAATGACATTTCGTCATTTAAGAATATCTACAGATATGCCTTTGATTTTGCAAGGGTAGGTGCAGTTTTCACGTTTTGTTGTTTTAATCGCTTTCATCTTGAGGCCACACTGAGGAAAACTTTTTCACTTATATTTTAGGATAAAGATCAGAGAAGCCTTGATATTGATACTGCTAAATCTATGTTAGCTCTTCTGCTTGGGAGGACATGGCCACTGTTTTCAGTATTTTACCAGTACCTGGAGGTATGTATGTTTTTTTGAATTTTGAAAGTATTATTTTAAAACTTAGTCTGACTGAAAGTTATACTTTTAATTGAGGAACAAATAGATTTTTAATAGTATGCTGTAAAAAAACTCCTTGAGTAGAGAAAAAAATTATATTAAAATATGTATATATCAGCTGTTATTTTAAGATAGAAGTTCATGTTTATAAATACATTTTGTACCTAAGATATTTTCAATACTACCTTCAACCCATGAAAGAAACCTCCAAGAAATATATTGTAGCACAGACATTTGTCATGCAAAATTAGTTTTTCGGGGTTTTGCCAACTCAAAATATGGCTAAACAGTAAATCTTAAGTAGAGAAATGATTTACAAGGAAGCAGCTCAAGAGAACATACCGGATGTAGGAAACAGTATATATCTTGATCTCCTTGGTGGAGGGGTGGTAACACAGTATGTTGTAAAAGTTAGTTTTATCTTTAAATTAGTACTCAGTGCTCTTATTATTCCTCAAAAACGAAAGAAAAGTACAAAATAGATGATATCGATCTGTAAATGCCCATGAGGAATCTCTTAGAAACACAAATAGTTTAAAAGAATAATAAATGTTCTAGGAAAATCCAAATCACAAAGTTATAACTTAGTTTACTAAATTGAGTAATTTTTTTTAATCCAAATATTTAAATCGTTTTTTTCAGCAATCAAAGTATCGTGTTATGAACAAAGATCAGTGGTACAATGTATTAGAATTCAGCAGAACAGTCCATGCCGACCTTAGTAACTATGATGAAGATGGTGCTTGTAAGTGTAACATAATGTATTCCTGTGAAAATAAAATTTCCAAAATCTTAAATGAGCATATGCATTTGTGTATTATTAGCATAGAGGTTTTAAACTTTGTAATAGTAACTGATGATTTAATCGTGTGAGGGATGTGGGAGAACTAGAGAGTTTAGATTCAGCAGTATTATATAAAATCTATGCTGGTAAATGAAATGTTTTCAGTTCCTCGATAACCAAACATTTTAGCTAGATTTAAATCGTTTTTGCATCCAGAAGCTAAAATTCAGCTTTGTTTCTGTCTCTCCTGGCACTTCCCTATGGAAGAAAAATATAGTCATGATTTTTGAGATATGACAGCAAAACAATCAGTAACTCTAGAAAAAGCTTTAAAGTTATTATAGAATATCATGCCACCCATTAACAGTATGGCATATCATGTCAGTATAACTTCCCTCTGAAAACTATAAATTGATTGTGAGTAAACTGATAGTGAAATATTTATAATTTTTCAATCCCTCCAGTTAAAATATCTGTCCATACTCCATAAAACAGGAATTGAAATAATTAGATAAACCAAGTTAATTCTGTAGAACTATATATTATTTCAGTTCCCACCACCATTTTGGTTGCTTGCGTGTGTTTTCAGTGTTCAAAAGGGTTACATGGAAAGGTACATTCCTATAAACTTCAACTGAAATTATACACTTTTTTTCTGTGACACTGAAGAAATAAAATAGCAGAAGGGATAGCTTTATTTCTTCTACATGTATTTTCTCCTCTCTCTCCAAGATGGTATAAAATTTGGTATTATTTTAAGGAAATAATACCTAGCAGCAGTAAGCTGGCAGCCCAAAGGCTGTATGTGGCCTGTAGATGTGTATATTTGTTTATTTCAAATCAGTATTTAAAACTAGGAGATTTTGTATGAAAATAAAACTTTCAGATTTGTTTGAAAAATTTAAAAATTCAACAAAATTGCACCTGTACTGCTTTATAGGAGTCAGAGGCTGGAGCCAAGTAGTAACTGTGTTGGCCTTGCTTTTCGGTTTGGCAGTTCACAGTATGCTAAGACCTAGGCTGTTTTTCACTTGCCAATTATAATTGTACTTGCTCTGCTGTTTTGTTTTTTTTTTTTACAATAGAGAAACATGTCTGTCAAAAGCAAGGGAAAAAGACTACCAGAGGATTATGTGTTTTAAGAAGAGTAGAGCAAGCCTATTTCTTTGTGGCAATGATTTTTCCTACATTTAAACAGAATAAACACTGAACTCATTTAAACTGCCTTCCTGGCAGTTGAACGAGCTTGAACCTCTCCTGCATTAGAAAAGTGTATTTTTTAGAATAGTTCTTAACTCATTAGTCAGATATTCATCAGGCACTTCCTTTGTATTCAGCTCTGTACTACATCTTGTTACTGGAATAAAGTAAGTCTCTATTATGGTCGATCCCCCTCAATAAGTTTATACATTTCTTGGGGAAGCAGCATAGAAATATTACCGTAAACACTTTTGAGATTGTTTCACAATTAAATGCCAGAATACCATGGACACTTAGAAAAGGGGAGAGATTTGTATTGAGTCAGTTATTGGAGGGTTCATGAAACACCTTGAGAAGGAAGTTGCTATAGATACCATTATTCCTTGTGTCTTTAAGGGCATAAAAGAAAAGGCCAGTAAGATAGCATCATTAAATGGAATAAGGTGGGCAGAAGCAGAACCACCCAAAGAAGGGAAGGGTCAGGCCTCTGTCATTGCAGAGCTAATGGGGAGTTCGTTGTATAATTGGAGAGATGAGTTCACTGAATTCTGACAAAAATGCTTTCTTTATTTCTAGGGCCTGTTCTTCTTGATGAATTTGTTGAGTGGCAAAAAGTTCGTCAAACATCATAGCAAGAACTATTGTGAAGAAAATGCAAACCTTTTGATTCCCACGTGTATACAAGCTGATGTGATGAGGGGGAGAAAAATCCAACGGGTGCATTTTCATTCATATGAAAGACTTCTCATAGTACTTTTTTTTCCTTTTTTTAAAGGAGGTTTTTCTTGTTACATGTGATGGGCATTGAGCCACACCTCTTCTTAGACTGAATATTGAAGTTTTTGTTTTGAGTTATGTTTATAACATTTATTTCAGAACAATAAAGATTCAGATTTGTGGCAAAGGCCTTAAAGTGAAGATGTCCCTTGAGTGTCAGAGTGGTATTTATTTTTGTAAATTTGAATTTTTGGATTTTTGAGGTTCCAGTTTACCATGTATTTATAGAATTTTCAAGATTTTAAATAGTCTAATATCTGGCAACATAGTCTGCTGATGATACGGCTCATTATAGTCATCTCCGCACAATTTGGAAGACTGTTGGCCTTGATTTCTGGGATGACGATTTTCTGATGCAGCTAATAACCATTTCTAGGTACTGGAAAAGTGCTGCTCCTTTTAACTTTGGGTTTCTATAAACCCTGCCAAGGTCTTATGCAGATGTCTTATCTCAGAGAGTTTAGAATTGGAAAGAATATGTCCAGTTATTTTGTTTTCTTAAAAACTTGTATTATTATTAAGCTGTATCGTCATTATTGTTGTTAGTGGCATATTTATGTTATTTTTAACTGTCATTATATAGGGAGGTTTTTTTTAAGCGCTTTTTTTTTTTTTGTCTTAAGAGAACTTTAGCTCTGGTGTGGATTTAGTTAAGATACACTTAGGAAAAGAAGATAATAGAGTATGGAATCATGAGAGAACTCTGGGTATAAGTGTGCACAGTTCGATAGAGCCATTTACATTGGTAGCTTCACAATATTGCTAATTATCACAATTTTCTGCCTGTTGGCAATAAAGTGTCTTGAGGAAAGGGAAGCCTTTCCTAATTCATATAAAAGGCACTTTGGTACTGGCAGCAGGCCTGTTTGTACGTTCCTTTTCAAACCATCCAGTATCCCAGTGATAATGAAAACTTTGTTCATATTCATAACACACTCACAACTTCAGTAACATTTCTAGTGTCACTGTATGAGTAGAGAGAAGTAGAGAGATTATTTTTCCATAGTAAGAAGGTGTTTCTGTTAGGATTTGAGGTAAAGATTGATTTTTCAATGATGAATTTGTTTAAAGAATGATTTCTCCAGATTGATTACTTAAGGAGGAATAACATTTTAAAGTGTTTCATTGTTTGCTTTTTGGTTAATGAGCTGGGAAAAAAATGATTGCCAATGTTTTACTTGCCTTCTCAATAAGATTGCTTTGTACAGTTTTGCAAACACTCACAATAGTGGGAGACAGTTTTCCTAAATGTCTTACAGAAGAGCGCAGTACAGATTGTCCTTTCAAGTCTTAGAATCACTGCGTTATGAACTGAACATACCAGTGGTGGTAGGATTTAATATTACGAAGGATGTTTTCATATCAAATTTATTATAAGGAAAGCATTTACATTTGTAGACCTTTAAATTTAAAATTTAACTCTTCAAGGCACATCTGAACTGAAGAATATGTCCATATCTGTTAAATTCCAAAACATAAAAGCAAAATCTAACAAATTCTCCATTTGTAACCTGAACTAGTATTAGTATCTTTTTCATCTTCAGTATTTGAGTAAAACAGGGAACACTTAAAGCTTATAGATGACTTTTTTTAAAAAAGTATGTATATGAAAGCACAGGCATCCTTGGTATACCCAGGGGATTGATGCCAGGACCCTCATGTATACCCAGATCTGCACATACTCAAATCCTACAGTCCTCCCCGTGGAACCTGCCTGTATGAAAAGTCAGTCCGCCATGTATGTGGGTTTTGCATCCCAGGAATACTGTATTTTCAATCCGTGTTTGGTTTAAAAAAATCTGTGTATAAGCAGACCCACACAGTTCAAGCTCATGCCGTTCAAGGGTCAACGGTATTTACTCTGCTTACTTATCCAAAGATACCGTTAAGACTTTTTGAGTCTGAAAATGAAATGTCCTTTATTTTTTTCCTTAAAGTCCATCCTTTCCTACCCTAGCCATGCTTGCAGTCCAGTCCCACTTTGGCCAGGCTTGCTTGACCCTATTGCTCCATCTAGTTCTAACTTCTTACGCTGACTGATGAATTACTCTGCCCAATTCCTCAGTCAGCGTGTGGGCCGTGTTCCTTCTTGTCTTTCCTTTCTTAATTTTGAATAGCATTTAATTTACTGGGAAGTTTATGATCAAAATGTTAAGTGACATAAACAAAGAAGACAATATTAAGGACCCTGCAGTGTAAAAAACTCTTAACTCTTGTTCCTTTTTTGACTAGTTAGCTTGAAGTGCCTTCCCAGCAATCCTGTTGTAAACTTTTCAGATCTACTTCCTTTGTACAGGATGAAATACTGTATGGTGCTTTATAACAAGAAGTTGGGTTTTTTCTTATAGACTATCATACAAATGTAATACTACTAGAAGAAAGTAGAAGCAAGTGTTGATTCTCAACTGTGGGAAAAGGGACAAACTGACCCCTCCCCCCACTCCTCGGGGCCAGTAATTTTTATTAAGGTATGATATTAATACCTCTAGGAAATTGTCAGGGATTCAGGTGACAGTGTGTGATGAAAATGGCGTATTGTGTGCTGGCCTGACTGCAATACCATGTTTGTCTTCTGTTGTCTAAGAATTTCTTATTTTTTAAATGCTGCTGATAAAATTCTTCATATAATACATTTTTGACAGTAGTAGCATTTTTACGTATAATGTATAGGTTTTGTTGGTTTTTACTCAGAAGTACTCTAGTGTTTCTTGAACTGCAATTCAAGAGCCTTCTTTGGGAATGTTAGATTGAGAAGTATTTCTCTTAAATACAAATAAATGCCTTTTCATCTAGCAAACCAAAAATTTATCTTAACAATATTGAATGCCATCTCTCGGGGTCTGTGTGGGAGTAAGTTTTGAGATAACTCCAGAGTTTTTAAGGCATACATATATATGTGTACACACACTGTAACAGTTCATTCTGAAGTATTTCTTCAACAAAACATATTGTATATATATATATATTATATATACACACACACACTATATATAACTAATGAAACATTTCACTCAAGTATTTCTTCAACAAAACATGTCCTGTCTGCCTACTTGCTAATGTGAAATTATGAAAGGATTTATTGAAATATATGTTCAGTTTCAGGAGAAACTGGTAAAAATGCCAAGTGTTCTTCTGCCCTCTTATAAAAGTATACTTAAAACTTGTGATAATAATTCATCATCTGATAAAAATTTGTTCTGGCTTTCAAGGCTCCTACAGCTTAATGTTTTAAATATCTAAGGCATCAAATAAATTGAGGGCATTTTAACAAAAAAAAGCCAACTCAATGCCTGCCTTTGTTAAAGCAAAAGGCAAAACACACACACACACACACACACAAACACACACATACCCACACGCACACACACGCACACACACACACACACACAAAAGTCTTATTTGACTTATTCCTAAAGAATTCTTACCCCTAAGGAGGAATTCTTCCTTCTTGAGGAAGTATCACGTTTTCAGTGATATTAGAAATCATCACAAGGAAACATTTTAAAGAAGGGATCATTTTCAGGAGAAAGAGAAATAACAATTTCATTAACTCAATGTTGAGTATTAATGAAATTAACTATTAATTCCTCAATAGGAAAGGCTAGTCTGAATTAAGTATTCTACATGATATCATTTTTTAATGAATGTAGTTTTATACTTTATGAATATTTGGTAAGAACCAGGTAAACAGATTAAGATTTGTTCTTTTTTGTTAATAGATGTATGATTAGTACAGTGGAAGACCAAAAAAACAGTCTTTTATGATAAAATTACAGACTGGAATAATGAATTTCTGCCCCAGACCTTGGATAAGTTGTAATTAATTTAATTATAGAGATTTTTATAGTGAACTTTTACTTTACCGAAACAAATCTTGAGATCTTTTAAAGCACAATTTATTTACCTTTTTACAAACAGCAGTCTTAAAACTGATTGATCATACATTTGCTGTGTCCTCCTTACAATCTTACATTATATTAATAGAGATAGTGTTCTCTCTGCTCCTTTTCCTGACCAGTTGTTACTGGGGTGACCATTTTCTTTTTAGGATCAATGAGACATTTTGCTATGTATGCCATGTAGTGTATTAGAACTTCTTATAATATGGCTCATTTTTACATGGTTTCTGATTTACCATGTGTTAAATATTTCTTAAAATACATCCAGTAACACTATAGTAAGATTAGACTTTAACATAAGTATTGAATCTTGTCTTATAATGCCAATTTTATTAGAGCATTGTTGTATTTATTTTATGGATCTGTGATGCATAAATGGGAGTTAATGGCAAACATTTTATTAAAAATGTCTTAACTTTCTCCCAAATTATATCATTTTGTAGAAGTTTTATCCTTCTGGGTTGTTTTTTTTTTTTTTTTTTTTGGCTTTCTAAGCTTTAAGGTGCCAATGAATTTTTTCCACAAATTTAATGGGTATGGTTTTAAAAATTAATTGGTTTTTTGTTTTAAAAAGCTACTAAATACTTGACGTGAATATATATAGAGCCAGATATTCCCAAAACTCTATGGGCTGTGTGAATATTAGCCATAATTAACTTTTTTCTTTTTTTGGAGACAGGGTCTCACTCTGTCTCTCAGGTTGGAGTGCAGTGGTGTGATCTCGGCTCACTGCAACCTCCACTTCCCAGGTTCAAGTGATTCTTGTGCCTCAGCCTCCCAAGTAGCTGAGATTACAGATGCCTGCCGCCACGCCTAGCTAATTTTTTTTTTTTTTAAACTAGAGATGGTTTCACCATGTTGGCCAGGCTGGTCTCAAACTCCTGACCTCAAGTGATCCCGCATGCCTTGGACTCCCAAAATGCTGGGATTACAGGTGCAAGCCACTACACCCAGCAAATTAACTTTTTCATGTAGAAAATAGATCACAAATCAAAGCTTCTCCATATTTTGAAGGTCAGAAGAAAATTTGCTGTTGTTAACAATTGCCTTTGAACCATCAAAGAGGAAAAACTAAAACTATTTGAGCAACTTGTTAAGACTTAAACTAACATCAAACTTAGCAGAATTAATTTGTGAGTATTAAGTGAAGTTAGTGTATGTAGATACTTCATCTTTTCTGTTCTATCATGCGAATGAGATGGCTTAGAGCAAGTTCATATGCAGTTACTTTTATCTACAAAT